GATTCAAATACCCACTGAGGGGCAGATTATGTGTTATATGATCTATGTCATTGTTTTTTCTGACTCATGTGCAGCTGTTCAGGCTATTTCTTCAGGACAGTGGGAAGAACAGAGTTGCTCAAATATCTCTCAAGCCCACCCAAAGATGCTGTTTACTTCACAGGGGAAAGAAATGCAACTATCTCCTTCTTAGCTATAGTGTGGCCCTTGGCCATGAGGTTCACTGGATGACCTTTAGCTACTCATTATCTCTCAGCATAAACCACCTCATGGGATTGTTGTAAAGAGACAAAATGGATGATGCCACACATACAGTCCTAGGCCTAGCAAGGGGGATGGACACAAGCCTAATAAGCTACATAGGGAAAACCTCTTCTCCATATTGTGTTTCAGGGTGAAAAGGGAGTTCCGGGAGATCCTGGGCCCAGAGGACCATATGGCTTGCCTGTAAGTTATATGACACTTTTAGAAAGTGCAATTTCCAGAAATCCTTGATTAAGTTGTACTTGTTTGGTGACCATTCATCACACAGAAACGCAATTAGTTTGGGTATCCCAAGGTCACTTCTCTGGAGGCCATTACTTATATGAAGTTCGGGCAGATTCATGCAGTCACATATATCTGTGTAAAAGTAACAGAGTCATTCTGACATAAGTAAATAACAATGAGAGAATCCAGAATGAAGAGTTCCTCCACCATGTGTGACTCCTGCCATTTCCATTGTGTGTTGTGACTTGTCTCAGGGTACCAGAATGTAATGACAGGAATTCAGGAACATGCTGTTCCCCCCTCCTTAAAGATCTGAAGTGATCAGAAGTTTCTGCAGTACAGAAGAAAAATCAGCTTTCATTTATGCAAAATACTTTGTTCTTAATTTTTTTAACTTTAATATGGAGAAAAGTTGATATAGGCTGTCAGGGGTCATTTTGTAGAAAAAGAGGTGCAGGGGCTCATTAGCATAACTCATTAGCATAACTTATTTGCATATGCCACACACCCTGACATCACCGGAAGTGTGTCAGAAGGCAACACCCACCGCTCAGGCTCCACTAGACTGTTTTGTATTGCTAGCTATTGGGGGGTGGGGGGACATGCAGATCTGTCCTTGCAGAGGAGGGAGAGCTTGTACCTGATTAAAACTTGGTTTTAAAGGTGCCACTGGATTGTTTTGGACTGGGGGGCTGGGGGGGGGGTTCTGCAACTTACCTGGCTGCTTCTTGCTCTGACTGAGGGCTGCTGGGAACAGGGGGGGGGGCTTGTTGCATGTGCCTGCCGCCTGGGCTCTTTACTGCCGGAGCTCCGCTCCTGTGCGCTCCTGCAGGAAATTACCCCTGTAGGCTGTGGTCACACACACTAAATAATCACTTTCAATCCACTTTCAGTGCACTTTCCAACTGGATTTTGCCAGATCACACAGTAAAATCCAGTTGGGAAGTGCACTGAAAGTGGATTGAAAGTGGATGGTTTAGTGTCTGTGACCACAACCTATATCAACTTTTCTCCAAATACAAGTGTGTGTGACTGCAGCCATAGTTTCATTTTTGACACACACAACCACCACATTTTCCTGTTATGCAAAATGCCTTGTGCAAATTGATTTGGAACTGTATAAAAGAAGATGAGATAAGTAAAAACTTTGCGTACAAACTGTATTCTATGATGCACTTTTACAATATGAGTAAAATGTCCTGTGTTTCAGATTATGCATGATTTTGGTTTTGCTTTGGATAAATATCTTAATGTTCATATTGATTTTAATTTTTCTAAACTTGTAGAAACAAAAATAAGGATGTAGGCTCCACAATAGATGTTAATGGCATAAGTATTTACTTCTGTACCCTGAACAAAAAATTGTGCTACATTTATCTGATCATTTGAAAACTTCAGAATGGATAGAAATAGAAGTTCTTCGGGGTCAATTTAAAACTTAATAAGCTCCTCTAGAAACTGTGTAATTAGGGCTGCCAAGCTCACAGTGGGAGCAGGGAATCCCCCACCCCCAGATCTCCCCATTTTTAAAAAACATGCAACCTTGTGTACTTACTGAAATTCTTACCAGAATTGACAAAGGTAGCTCTAAGAATCACCAGAAACTCTGTGGTAAAACTATAGAGGTTTACCATAAAGCTTCTGGCAATTCTTAAAGGGACCTTTGTCACTCCTGGTAAGAACTTTTAAATAATTGTTCTCCCGCAACACTTCACCCCAACAAACACACGCACACCCTGTGTGCCAGTTTGGTGTAGTGGTTAAGAGCAGTGGACTCGACCCTGGAGAACTGGGTTTGATTCCCCACTCCTCCACATGAATCCAACTGGATGGCCTTGGGTCAGTCACAGCTCTTTCAGAACTCTCTCAGCCCCACCTACCTCACAGGTTGTCTGTTGTGGAGAGAGGAAGGGAAGATGATTGTAAGCTGCTCTGAGACTCCAACAGGTAGTGAAACACAGGGTATAAAAACCAACTCTGTGGCTCTGCCTGACAACTCTAGTGTACATAACAATCAGACCAGAGTTAGTAGTGATGTATCTGCTGTTGCTTCCACTGTGAATATAGCTTATAGCCCAACTACACATAACATGAGAGATATGAGACTGGCACTCTCAAAATTTTCATTATTACTTAAAACAACAGAGGGAGTCATTTTTGGAGGTAGTAACACAGTGCAATGCTAAACAGAGCAACAGCCTTCTAAATCTATTGAAGTCAATGGGCTTGGAAGGTGTAACTCTGGGGAAAGAATTTATAGTGCAATCCTAAACAAATTTTTCTTTTCCACAACCCAACCCCCTATTAGCAAACCTAAAACCCAACAAATATCCCAATGTGTGCAGATCGTTATATGGAAACTAGGGTTACCAGCCTCCAGGTGGAGCCTGGGGATCTCCCAGAGTTACAAATAATCTCCAGATGACAGAGATAGTTCCCCTAGAGAATTTGGCTAAAAGGTAGACTCCATGACATTATACCCTGCTGAGGTCCCTTTCTTCCCCAAGCACACACACACACATCCAAATCTCCAGGAATTTCCCAACTTGGGAAATCCCATGATGCTTTGCTCATGTTTTCAACATTGATGCTGCAACTGTATGCATGTACTTTTTAAGCTCTCGGGCGATCTCAAATACTAGAGCCCTACAAACCCTTAGATCTAAGTCCCTAAAAAGTATATAGTTTGAATCTACACAGTTATTGGAGAAGTGATGGCAGGTGCTTAGACGCCATTCGTCAGGCCTGAATAAGAATAGTTTCGGTCAGAGGTGTCGGAACTCATTTGTTATGAGGGCCAGATCTGACATAAATGGGACATTCTCAGACCAGGCCATGTGAGTCTTAAAATGTAATGCCAGGTAGCGGTGATATAAACTTAAAGGACACAGACAAACACAACTAAAAATTTACTACCAGTTTCAGGGTAAGCATCAAGTTGATGTGCCATCACTGCAAGACCCTAGCTGCAGAGGAAAACCCACATAGGTAGACTGGAGAGCCAGCAGTGCAGCACTGGGCTGATGCCCCCATGCTGCCTGGAGTGGGGAGCAAACCCTTTCCCCAGATTGCTCTCATGGTCAATACTCTGAGCCTAGAGCCCAGGAGAAAACATGAAATGGCTGAGCATTGCGAGCTTCTCCCTCCCCCCTCAAGTCTACTTAGAGTGGAAGTGGCTCTCTCAGGTTGAAATCTTTCTCATAAGCCACAGCCTGATCCTTTTAACTGGAGGTGCCAGGGATAGAGACTGGGACTCTCTGCATGCCAAGCAGAGGCTCTTCAACTGAGCCACAACCCCTCTCCCCCAATCTGAAATCAACATGAATGAGCCCAGCAAAAAAAAAAAAAGTAAACAGAAACACACCGACCTACTTTAGCAAGGCAAAGCACAGAAGAGGGGAGGGGGAGCCAGGTGCACCCAGGAGTTCCAAGGCCGGAGCCCAGCAAAAAAATTAGCAACACAGACCAACTGTAGCAAGGCAAAGCATGGGGGAGGAAAGGGGGAGGTGGAGCCAGTTGCACCCAGGAGAGCAAAGGCAGGGGTCCAGCAACAAAGAAAAGAAAAGAAACACAGACCGGGTGTAGCAAGGTGAAGCACGGAGAAGGCGAGGCGGAGGTGGAGCCATTCACACCTGGCAGAGCCAAGGCAGCCGAGCAAAAAAAAAAAAAGTAGAAGCACAGGCACAGCAAGGCAAAGCATGGAGGAGCTGGGGGGAGGCAGAGCCAAGGCATAACAAGCCCACTTGCTCATGGGCTGGATTAAAGCCCTGGGCGGGCCGGTTCTGGCCCATGGGCCGTACATTGGGCACCCCTGGTTTAGGTGATAAAATTTAGAAAGTATGTAGATTATTCTTTTCAGAGTTGAAAGTTGAAACCTTTGCTCTACACATGGATTGTATAATAATTTCTCCAGGGAAATGCATTCCATACAGAGATTTTGTAACATTTTAACATTCCAATTCTAAACAGTGACCTTAATAGCCCTGTTTACTTAGACCTATTACGATTGCCTTGTCCTGAGGCTCAAAAAGCGATCCAAATCCTTACATTTTACCCTGGAGCAAATAATAGTGCAAAAAAGGCTTTTTCAGATTGAGCCTTTACACTTTCTTATGCTGCAAGATATAAATCCCAGAAACCCTAAGTGACAATAGGGTGGGAAAGATTGTTGCCATGTTTTAAGTTAGTGCCTGAAATCAGACAGCATGATAAATGCTGATAGAACAAAGGCCTGGAAGGCCTTGATAATCATCATAAGTGTTTTCCTAGTATAGCTGCTTCTTGTGGTCATGTTCCTGATTGAAACCTACCCTTTTTAGTTGACCCTCATTATATTCACGATATTTCTGAATTGTAACGGACATTATGGTTCTTCTGCAATTGTGCCTAGTGGCATCTCTCATTAGAGGAATGTCTTCCAAACTAACAATGGGACATGTCCAGAATAGACATTCCTAGCTTCACACTTCTATGGTGTGCATAATTAAAATTTATTGTAGATGACAGAACAGACAATACTGGAACACGCTCTCTGATGGCGTCCTCTCGCCAAAGCTCAAGACTTCAGTGTAGCCCTAGGGTCGCAAACCTCCAGGTGGTTCTTGGAGATCTGGAATTACAGCTGATCTCCAGGCTACAGAGATTGGTTGTCCTAGAGAAAATGGCTGTCTAGGATGGCATACTCTATGGCACCACGTCCCTGCTGAGCTTCTTCCCCTCCCCAAATCTCCCTTTCCCCCAGGCTCCAGCCAAAGTCTCCAGGAATTTCACAGTCCATAATTGGCAACTCCTATATCTCTATTGCCATTTTTGCTTTAAGATAACTCCTGTTTTGTATACACAATCCCACATCGTAATAAAAAGAACATTAGGCATTTTTATATTATATCACAAGTATATTGCTGCATTCAAGTCACAGCCCTCCGCATTCTTTCTTGGTGTCAAGAGCAGAGGGGCTTACTACTACAAGAGCAGAGACACATGCCTAAAATGAACAGCTTAGGTTTGCTACCTGCTGGGTAGTAAGATAGGGTCAGCACAGCTGTTCCTATATTGTAGAGTGTTGGAAAGGAGGCTGAAAGAATGATGGCTCATCCAAAGCTACCTTGCTGAGGTGAGATTTGCACTGGAGGCTTTCTTATAGCTCACCCTGTTCCTTGTTAACCGCTGAACATGCTCTATAAAGTATCAGTTCTCTGTGAAATATGTGCTTCATATTATGTTGTTTACAGAGATTGGTATCTTTTTAAAATGTCTCCTCTCTGATTGTCCTTCATTTAGAGCTTCTGTGCTTTTAAAAAATATGAAGATTCATGCACTTTATACAGGACACAATTGCTGCATATCTGAATCGTCCTGGTGGACATCTCACCAGATCTCTGACTAACAGCCATAAAACTTAACATCATTTCATATGATTCTTTACTAGGGCAAAGATGGAGAACCTGGCCTTGATGTAAGTAATATTTATTATCAGTTTCTATGGTAGGTAAAGTTTCTTTGAAATAATAGTTGCATGCTTGATGCATGTTGATTTGTTTTCCCATTTGGTGTGCATGATGATCATGCAGAGAATATACTAAACATTGCATTGTTGTTTTCCTTTAAACAATGGTAGAAAAAGAATAACAGCCGTGTAAGAACAATGCTGAGCAAGGGTAGTCTTGTAAAGTCTTCCACCATAAGTAGCACCACCAGTAAGCACCTGCAGAAGCTGATGATGAGTAGAGCACCTGAAGTGCTCTACTTTCCTGAGTCCCAATCCGTAGATGCAGCTGGAGATACCTGAAAATATGACCACAGTGCACCACACAGCACTGCATTCATTTGACAGGCTCCCTGTGAGATTCTGGTGACTACAGACTAAAACACCTGTAACAACAAGTTGATTTAGAAAATAGTTAAAATCTTCCAGGAAGATCCATGTAGTTCATGTGTAGAAGTTCTGTATAGTTGCCCTTTTGAACTTGTGTGTGTGAAATGCATTTAAGTTTATTGATTCTTAAATTGCAATTGAAAATTCAATCTCTTGCAGTTGGCGAAGTTCACTGTAACCTTTTCTCAGTGACAATTACCTTTTTGGCTTTTCTCTTCTGCCAGTGTGCATTTGGGAATACAGGGATCATTATCTATACGGGTGTTTTCCGTATCTTTATCTTCCTGAACACTATGGCCTACATTTGATTTTCCAATCATTTGGTTCAGTATTCCCTGCTTGTGCTTGTGTGTGCCTACAATTCAGCTGTATGCTAAAAGCAAACCCCACCTATCAATATACATAAGCCAATAGAGGTATTTTTGTTCATTTTTTATAGGGTTTCCCTGGTCCTCGTGGAGAAAAGGGTGATGTAGGAGAAAAGGGAGAAAAGGTGACCTCAATGCTATTAACTGTTGTTTGATTCCTTAGCCTAGTCAGCTGTTCTGTCCCAGCCCTATAATTTTGTCCCATTAAGTTTGACTTTTCCTCCTTCTGTGTGCCAAAAGCCAAGTCACAGATCTTTGCTAGACAAAGTCATCTGTCAGAATGTGAAACACAGCCTCTCTTCCATACCAAAAGGTCAGCACTTTCCATAATGGCATAGGAAAGGCTTTCTCCTCCAAGACTCCTGACAGTCTATGTTTGTTTATGAAAGAGTTACTGACAAGAGACATCGGAGTGGCAACAAGGTAGGAGACTGCTAGGCCTGACTGACAGTAAGTGTAAATCAATATAGCTCCATTGACTCCAATTTAATATATGCTGTATTTATACCTTGCAAGCGTCTGGCTCACAGCTGGATAGACCAGGGCTAAAACATTTGCTGCAACCCAGAGAAACTTAGGTACAATTAAATCCTGTTGTAACAGATAGCTAACCTCACAGTTTATCCTGCTGATGCGATTTCAGTGTGCCTCACTTTCTTCTGAGAAGCTGAGCTCTTTGTATAGTCACAAAAGTTCTTGCACATGCATCCACCCCTTGACCTGGATAGGAGCTTCTCTACAGAATTTAACAATGACAGTGTCTCATTGTATGGACAGTAATGCATGCAGAATTCTTGCATAGGCCAGAGTTTCCCTGTTGAACTCAATGAGGATCCAAAGAACTGTGAAACAACCTCAGGGAGCAAACAGGACTTGGTTTTCATCATGCAGCAGTTTTCATATAGCAGGGCATGCTGCTTATGAATCTGAGGGCAGTTTCCAGGGCAATTGGCATGGACACAGTGTGCTGGGGGGGTGTCAATAGTGTCATTGGGCAAGCTATTCTGAGTCTGAGAGCCACGAAGGCTTTTCCTGGCCGTTCAACAGCCAGCAATTATGACTGCCTCCTCTTGCTTTTGTTTTCGTTTGTTTCATTTTAAATATTCCAGTGCCATTTTCTGGCCCCGCAGTGTTCCCCAAATGGCTTGCAAAAACTAGACAAAAGCATGGGGAAAACACAATACAGTCTAAAACAGCAACAACAACAACACAACATGCTAGCTTTGGCAGACACTCAAAGATTGGGGATTTCACTGAAACTGAATGGTTATTCCTTATCATATGTTTGCGTTCTGTGTCATTTTAAAGACTGCTTTATTTTTATATGTGAGCAGCCTTGAGCTTAAGAAAATACACGGAGCTCTTAAATAAATGTATTAATTAAATGATGCAAGCCTCAGCAGTTCTTTGGATCCTACCCAATGGCAACAGCAGCTGTTAATACAGAATTCCTTGGACATTTAAGCAAATGGACTTTTTCATGGAAGCTCTGTATGGTGTCAGAGCAGTGATTCATCTTGGAAACATTGGGCTGAATCCAAAGGTCATTTTTCCACCAGCAGGAGGAGGAATTTTCACATTTACCCTCCCACTGCAAATCTCCACTTTACCCCCGCCCCCAGCTGTTCCTGAGGTCCCTTGCGTCCACCCACTGAGCAGCATTTCAGGAAGAGTGCTTGATTTGCAGGAGGAGATGGAAGGCCAAAATGTTCTGTTCCACTAGCAAAAGTGCCTTCCATCAGTATAAAGTGACCTGTGGCTCCAATCCAGTATTAGCCAAGGTGTTTTTTTTATTAGTCTTCCAAGCATAGAAATCCTGCAAAATGCACTTTAATTGATGTTACTTCCTGTCAAGTTTTTTTCACTGTCAAAATTAATGGTGGAATTAAACAGATGGTATGTAGACTCTACCTAGGTGAGGCCAGTGAATTAATGGTGAAATTAAAGAGATGGTATGTAGACTCTAGCTAGGTGAGGCCAGTGGATGCATCCCCGCCCCGTACCATGTTTTGTCCCACCTAATGCTTAAATATAAAAGCAGGCTTTTCAGTTGTGCCATGGCAGTTGCCATTTGTCAAAAAATGAAAGTTTCCTGTTAGAATATGTAAATTACTGTTCTAAAAAATCCCTCTTCAGGTGCTTTTATGGTGAGTACGGCAAGGTGCTCATAGGGGGGGGAAGGAGGGGTACGCAGCTGCTTCCTCCCTAGCTCTCTCCCCAGATACAAAGTGGCAAGGGAGAGTCCATACCCACCTGCTGTAGCCCATTGAGTGAGAACTGCCAGCTGCAGGGCGCATAAAATGACACGAGTGTTCCGCTGCGCATCCTTGACCTGGATAGCCCAGTTTAGCCTGATTTCAACAGATCTCGAAAACTAAGTAGGGTTAGCCCTGGATAATATTTGGATAGGAGATCACCAAGGAAGTCCAGGGTTGCGATGCAGGCAATGGCAAACCACTTCTGAACATCTTTTGCCTTGAAAACCCCATGGGGGTCTCCATAAGTCAGCTGTGACTTGACAGCAAAAAAAAAAAAGGCACTATGGCAGGGTAAGTTGTAATATTTATCAGTTTGTAACTGAGAAAAATTTAAAGATACCAATCTTTGAGCTAGTTAAATGAAATAGTATTTATTTATGTATACCCTAAATCTTCTCACCAATGGCAACCCAAAATAGTTTATAACATTTTTCTCCTGTCTTCCATTTCATCCTCACAACAACCTTGTGAGGTAGGTTAGGCTGAGGGTGCATGACTGGCCCAGGGTCACTCACTGAGCTTTCGTGGCAGAGTGAGGATTTGAACCTGGCTCTCCCAGATCCTAGTCTGACACTCTAACCACTATGTCATGTCTCTGAAGTATACATTATTAGGTTTACAGAACCTAAATTACCCAGCGTCACTGGAATAGCATCTTATTTTGTGCTATTGCAGTTGCCATTCTTAATCTCTTTACTGTTTTTGCAACCGAAGTCATAAACAGCAATGCAGTTGCTATGTTCCATCAGAACAATTTATTTTCTGACCAGTAGACTTACCATAATTTAGCCAGTGACATTAATGATGTCACTGCAGGTCTATAATGTTTTTATAACTACATGAGTTCCTAGGCTTTCCAGGAGCAAAGAATAAACCAGTATTTTGACTGAAATCTACCTTTTCCTTCCCTTTAAAATCTGTAAATGTAGATCCAAATCCTGAGTCATTAAGTGGTCACGCTTTTTAAAATCCTGTGGGGCAATTACTTTGACTGTAGAGCCAAAACAGACATGATGCAAGATTCCCCTGATTGGATCTCCCGAGATTTACTTAAAAACAGCCACTGGGCACTGCAAATTAGATTAGAATGGTAATGCTGGGGAAGAACACTTAACTCTTTCCATTGTACTATTTTATATTTTAAGCCTGCTATCAGCTGGAGGGTGGGGGGAGAAGGACCAGGCAAATACTGGTCTCTGTGGTTTTCTCACTCAGTAGGTCTAAAATAGCTGTTTCAGAGATGAGATCAATTTAAACTGTAATCCTATCAGGTCCATAGCTAATGCGGGGCCCATGGAGCCCGACCCCCTAACATTTCTTCCAGGGCCCCAACCTGAGCCTTATCTTCTCCTCCCCCTGAGCTCCACAGTAGCTATGTGCCTGTCGGTGAAAGGGGCTGTAGAGAATTGGCGGTCTGATCTTGCAAGACCATCTCCTGGTCAAACTTAAGAGTGAGTTTTTCTTCAAAGTTCTGCAAACAGGGAGAGGCTTTTGGATCAACACATGGAGGCTGAGAGTAGGGAAGGAGCTCGTGATCCCACTACTACTACCCATGCATTAAGAGAACTTCTATATAGGACCAATTTTTAACTCACGGTTATATCAAAATAAGCTTTTGAGATGTTACTTTCTTCTCCAAAGTACCACTACAAAACATTTTGGCACACAGACAAGACAGATTAATAATATTGGATGTTTGATGTAATACAGTATATCTCTCCATGGAAGTGTGTTTGGTTCTCATTTGAATGTTCATACAATATGTCATAGTATATCATGTGTGTTGTGTAATGTCATTTTTAATATATATGTATATATTTATCAGTAAGATAATTAATTTCTTACCTCAGTTGAAGTTGAAAGTGTAACGCTGTTAATCATCAAGAATTTATCGGTGATTTTAAAGAATGTGTCGTTGATGTTCCATAAAATTAAACAAATGGTATCAAACATTTTATTTTCTGCTGTAAATGGATGCATAATCTATTGTTTGGTGAGAAAAAGGGGGGGATGACCATTTGTTGTCTGTCATCCTAATCCTGCCTACCTAACAGAGGTGCATCCCTACATTCTCCTTTGAGCTTGCTTCCTTCCAATCCTTCTGCCTTTTTCACCTTTTTTCCTTACAAGCAAAATCTTTTCCGGAGCCATTACGTTGACAGCCCTCCCCTAGTTACTGATCATTTTATTTTACTAATTTGCCTTCTGCCATTCCCCCATCTTTCTTTAATACTCTTGATTATCCCTATTTATGCTTTAGGTACAACTGTGGTGGTTGTTTTTTTGTTTTGTTTTGTTTTGTTTTATTAAAACGAGGCACTTCTGGTTTTTGTTTTGTTTTGTTTTATTAAAACGAGGCACTTCTGGTTTTGTTAAAAAAAACTATGAGTGAGCCTGAAACTCATTTACCATTGTGATCAACTGGTCAGGTGTGAAATCAATTACAAATTAGTTCTCAAAATATTTCCTGACTACAAATGAGGTCACTTTGATGGATAGCAGCTATATCTTTTAAGCACACGATGTGTTCTAGATAGACTGACATTTGCTCTAAATGCTCTAGATAGACATTTGCTCTACATTCTGAAACTCCCAACTCATGACTGGATTTTTCAGTTTCACGTGTTGCTGTGTGATAAAGCTCTGCAAGTGATAGTCCAACCCATGAAGGATGCTGATGAATATTTTAAACTCTTTTTATTTTACCCAGGAAAAGCATTAGTGTAGCTATCAGTCACCATGGAATCCTTTTGCAGGTTTAGAAATGGAAGACAAACTTGATTCTCATGCTACCCATGAACCTTAATTGATCTGGCATAGAATGGGTTTGTGAGAACAAGTTTGGTCAAGACATAAACAGAACTGCCAAAGACACGTTTTTGCAGCAAGTAGTCACATACAACTCCAGAAGTGTGTATGTTATAACCATGTGGGCAGGGTGAATTTTTTTCCTCCATGCAAACGTCACCTGGTTCACAGAGACATGACCATTTTCTTGGGGAAGAACTCCAGAAAATCATCTCCCACCTCACTGTGGTAAAATATGAAATGAGATTTGGTGAATGCACTAGAACTTCTATGTCTACAAGAGACATGGCTGAGTGGGCTGAATTACTTGAAGGGCTTTGCAGATGCCAGATAGTTTCAAGCTCTGCTTTAGGATTCTAAGCATCCATAACAATGGCATCACTAGAGAAGCTTGAGGCCATAAAGAGATGCACTTGTCGCTTATAGTCATCATATAATACACTATTTCCTTATAATGCATAATTCAAACTAGAACACAGTGGTAAGTGTCCTTTCAATCCTCTTTTGGCTTAAAAATATTTTCAGATGTCTTTTTCTTCTCACAAAAGAATGAAACATTTGTTTTATCCAAACCATTGTGTCCACAGGGGGAAAAGGGAAAGAAAGGCAAAAAGGGGCCTAAAGGGGAGAAAGGAGAACAGGGTGCCCCTGGATTAGATGCACCTTGCCCATTGGTACGTCTCACTTGTGTATTAGAAATGTCTCCTCTTACAGTAGACAATATTACAAAATGGTACAAAGTAAAGAGGGGCAAGCTACAACTTTTGCATAATGCTTGGTATTTATTCAGACCAAAGGAACCTAGTCCTTCAAGTTTAAAGTTCTAATGAGCTTTAGCCTATATCTACCAAAGGTATTATTTTGAAGATAATTCATTTGCTGTGCATAAAATCTACTTACAGATACTAGCTCTCGTTAGCTAATGTATTACTTATTCCCACATATGGCTTGTTTTTAGGAAACAAAATACCAGCATTGTCATAGATCAGCCTTCCTTGTCAGCTTGCTCCTCTTTCGTTCTGTTTTTTATTTGTTTGTTTGCTCCAGCAAAGTCAATACAAAAGACATTTCTTTATTAGTAACACTGCAAGTTAATCTTTACAAACAGGGATTCCGTGGAGTTAAGGGGGAAAAAGGGGAGCCAGGCCAGCCTGGCCTGGATGGGCTGGATGCCCCTTGCCAATTGGTACAGTATTGATCTTTCCTACCAACCCTGCATGTGATTCCTGTGTTTCTAGTGGATTTTCCAATGTAAAGTTTAAAATTACCAGGCTTTACATTATGCGTCCTCATACATGCATGTGCATGACCAAACTGGCTTGCTTTGGTGATCATAACCAATATCTGGAGATCACATATCCTATCAACATTTGCAATATAACATTAAACATTTTTTTGCACCTGCATTATACAAAGTGGTTCTGAGTTTGTTGTATTCCAGCATTTGCAATAAGTATAATTTTTCCTTCAGGATTTTTGTCTGTCCCCCTCCCACCATTACCACCACCACCAAAAATGCTTTCTCCCCTACTTACTATGAATGAAATTCCTCTCTCCACTGACAAGCACAAAAGCCAGTACACAAAATACATTACTGACTGACTTGCATAATTTTTATGCTTGCCCTGCACATGGGTATGAATTTTATCCATGCTCTCTCCTGAACTTGTTTTACACATTTGAATCCTGAGTGCATTTATATTGGGTGGGTTAAAAACTTAAATAGGGATAATGTTAGTTGAGTACATAAACAAAAATAAAAGTAAACCTTAATCCTAAACACATAATGTAAAATCAAGGGTAGTTATTTCCCCAGTGATCATATAGATATGGTGGCTCCACTGTGTACATGTAGGCCCCAAATCATTGTGAGCTTAGAAGTCTGCCCATGGAACTTCTTTACCTGTAAAATATCTCTCATTAGCAAGAGTTGCCAACCTCCAGGTGGTGGCTGGAGATCTCCCACTATTACAACTGCTCTCCAGGCAACAGAGATCAGTTCACCTGGAGAAAATGGCTGTGTTGGAAGGTGGGCTCTGTGAGGTCTTTCCCATCCCCAAACTGCACCTTCCCTAGGCTCCACCTCCCAAAATATCCAGGAATTTCCCATCCCAGAAATACCAACCCTATCATGAGTATCAATAGAAAGGACTGTTTGTTGCTTCTTCGTTGAATTGAAAGAGGAGATATATTCACAGGAGTTTCTTGTGTGCCGTGAACTAGGACCAAGACCATTCTAGTGCACACATAGCGTATGAATGGGAGCTACTCCAGTCTGTTCAATATTTGAGAATGCTTTACACACACAGTGTTCTTGCAGCTGATGTAAAGAGCTTCCTCTAATATGGAAGAATATGGGTCAAATCCTTCTTGTGGAGATACCCATGTATGCATCATAGCTCCATAGAGTTTTATACTGAAGACAACGTGTTTAAGATTAGGGTGTACATTTGTTTGTGTAAAGTTATATCTGATGAAGGGAGCTTTGACTCTCAAAAGAATTTACTCCCCAAATCTTTTTGGTCTCTAAGATGCTACTGGATTCAAAGTGCAATCGTAAAAGCACTTTCCTGAGTCTAAGCCCCAGAATCCATAGGATTATGAGTTGACCTGTTTAGGATGGCTCTGATACCCATATAGGATGCATAGACAGGATCTCATTGATGTAAGTGTGGTCCTCACAATCAGTTCCATTGAGGATTGGAATGGTATGCACATTTGAAAATGAACTCTCAGATTTGATAAGAAACGTATTGGCCTGCAGCCCAAAGCCCCAACTGTCTTTGTTTCTTAAACGTTTTAGTGTAACAGCCTTTCCTTTAGAACTTAATTTCCCACAATATACACCACACTTCCCTACTCTATGTTAGCATGAGATCAAGCCCCTACCTATACTAAAATTCTACTCATTGATCCTTCTCCCTTGTACCAATCTGGCAACACTCGTTATTTTCAAGAATATACAAAATACATTTTGATTCTTTTTTTCATTGTAAAATCAGCATTTTGTACACATTTCTAGAGAACGCCAAAGTTTTATGGTTAGCAGAGATGATCTGCATGTTCTGTTGTTCTTTGTATAGCTAAGCACGATTTTCTAAAGATGATTGTTAAAAGTTAAGACAGTTTTATTTAAAGCACAATGTTTCTAATTTAAATTGTTAGGACAGACCATTTCTGAGTATGTAGTATATAGCTGGCTTGCCTCTGTTTAATGATAACATGCAGTTCATGTATTTGGTTGTGAGTCAGTCAAGCATGCCTACAATAATTTTTCCCAAACATGTTTGCCTCAGAGTATCGTTTCTGTCTGGAGGTACCTTATAGGCAGGCAGTTGTAGACAAAAGTGCTAAGTAACTGACCACATTTTGCTCTAGATATAGAAGAGAAAGCTCAATGGAATTGCTGGAGCTGCTCAAAAGTGTTTGCAGATAAGAACAAAATTCCAAATTCAAGTACACAGCTTTCCTATTAAAATGTGTATGTTTGTAGGGTCAGACATTTATTAACAGATGAATCATGTAAAAGAACTCTTCATGAAACTGCCCCCTTCACTGATCAGCTCATCACTAGTCTGGGTGAACTGGAAATCAGCCACTCCCCAAACCAGCAGAACCAGAATGATTGGATTTACCTGATTGGCACCCTGATTTCCACTAGTTATTTGTCTGCACTTCCACGTTAATGTTTTCTGAACAATAGTAATGATATTTCATCCCAAACTTCAAGGAGGATTTAGGATATGGCTTTCAGTGTGATTAAAGACAATCCACTTAAAAGCAAGCCAATGAAAACAGTGGAACTAAATATACATTTAAATTCAAGTACTCTGACAAATATTTTAATGAACCAGACTGCAACAGGGATGCCAGCCATCAGGTACGACCTGGGGATCCCCCAGAATTACAGCTCATCTCCAGATTAGAGATCAGGTCCACTGGAGAAAATGGATGCTTTTAAGGATGGACTCTATGGTGCTGTACCCCACTAAGGACCTTGTCATCCCCAGGTTCCATCCCCAAATCTCCAGGAGTTTCCAACCTGGAGCTGGCAAACCTACCCCCCTCCCATCTTCCACTGGTGGCCAGAGGGGACCTGGCAATCCTAGGCTACAAGTAGGTTGTTCTGGCTCTAGCTAACCAAAAGTTTAAAATTGTTTAATTGTTCTATGTTGCTAACAATGGCCAGGATCAAAAGCTCCATATGGAGAAGCTTAATTACCGGTATGTGTAGTGGGGATTTAGAAGATTCCATTCCCTTGAACGATCTAACAAGCTGTTCCCAGATCTCAAGTGACCTTTGGGAACATCTTTTCCCAAACCAGCTATGATCAATACAGGAAATCCAGAAATCTTCATTATACCTGCAGAAGCTCATTGAAAAGCACACAGAACTGTTTTGATCCCAGTTGAGTCAGTCATCTGCCAGAGCACAACATAATAGTTCAGTACCATATTAGGAACTCAAATGCTGATTATGATTAGTTTTAGTGAATTTCGTTCCTTTGGGTTTGTCCCCCCCCCCCGAAAGCTTTCATTATAAAAACAACATAAATAGCAACTCAGGGAGGGGGCCATACAAGTCAGCATGTTTGTGGGCAGCTAGCCAATCACTGAACTGACTTATCCTAAAAACCCAGACAGAATTGATACACTCTGGCTCATGGAAAGGATTGTTCATATTTCTGAAAAGTTTAGCATTGTCCAGTGCTGCACCCACACATAGTTGGATATTGTGTTATTGCTGCACTATAGCAATCCGTTGCTACTAAGTGGATTTATCTACACAGGCAAATCCAGCTGGGAATCATTGCTATAGTCCAATGAGAATACCATATTCAATGATGTGTGGATATTGTTCAGGCCTCTCTGTTCTAATGGACTAAACAATCCATTTTACAGCTGATCCTGAGCACATGAACTGGTTGAGGCAGCCTATGATTTGCTTATTTTTGGACTGAGTCCCTTGTTGAAAACATCCCATTACCCCTGTTATGTTGACACTTAAACCATGCTTGCATGAAACACTTTATAGTGTTCCTAAGATTAAAAACCAGCCATTGATGGTGGTTGTTTTCTTTGTAAAATCTGAAGGACATAATATTTTATACATGTATGTATGTATATAAAGACTGCCATGCATCCCACCCATTATCTTATTGGATATTTGAATTTTACTCATCTTTCTAAATTAGAGTTGTACTTTTTAGAATATGGAGCTAGATGAGTGTTTGTAAGGTATATTATCAAACTAATAACACTTTTGAATTTTCTCTCTGAAACAGGGGCCAGATGGGTTACCAATGCCTGGCTGTTGGCAAAAGGTAAGGCACTGCAAAAGCTGTTTTGCTTCTTATTGTTTCATTGTGTTCCCCATAGTGTCAAGCACCAATGCACAAAATTCGATCAGTCCATGGATGGCACGGCAGAACATTAACAAAATTCTGAGAAAGCAAGGACACACAGTATTTTTTACAACGCTTGACAGTAAAAACAAATGAAAACAAATAACTGTCATTTTAAATTGTGCATTCAGTTTAAGAAGTGGAATGTTGAAAGTTCTACATGATATAGACATATTGGCTTAGTCCATATGCAATGCACAAAAATGGGTTGCTTTAATCATTAATTATTTTAATTAATCCTTTCACAAACAATTAGTCAAATCCTGGGTTGCCTTGACAATTGCTAGTATCATCCATTTTGCTCTTTCCCCTGCCTCCTACACATGCCTGGGATGCCAGCCTCCAGGTGGGACCTGGGGATTCCTCGGAATTACAGCTCATCTCCAGACTACAGAGATCAGGTCCACTGGTGAAAATGGATGTTTTGGAGGGGGGGCTCTATGGCACTGTACCCCACTGAGGTCCCTGTACTCTGCAGGCTCCATCTCCAAATCTCCAGGAGTTTCCCAATCTGGAGCTAGCAATACTACCCCCCCCCCATCTCCTGCTGGTGGCCAGGGGGACCTGGCAATCCTATGATCCCGCTGCATTGCAGTTAAGGCCCAAGTTGGGGAACAAGTACCTGTTTATGTATCACATGAAACCATAATTAAGACTGTTAATAAATCAACTTCAAGTAATGATTTTGGATCCTGACTTGACATTAGGAGAGTGGCCTGCATTTGGACAATCATCACCTTAGGCATTGTTAGTTTAATTAAGCCATGCTTTCTCATGATGTCTGAACCAAGCCATGGGGCTAGAGATTTGAGTGCTAAAATACTAACCTTGTCAATTTCTTTTTTTTTATCTCTTTGCAGTGATGAATCTAACTTTGCAAGCATGAAGTTGTGTATATAAAACGCTCCACCTCTTGTATTTATAGTTGAAAATGGAACAATTGATTTTACAAGTGTGAAATATGTTTACACGTAGCAGCTTCTACTTGTTTGCAGTAGTCCATGTGTACATCTATTCGTCATGTACATCTGCAATCCAGCAAAATAGAAACTATGTGAGAAACTTGCAAAATCAAGTATTAGTCTCTCTCTACGGAGACCAGTCATAGACATATGAGTTGTTACTGCAAATTTACTTTATCTTTTCTTTTTTTTTGGCTCATGGTCCTGCATGGACAATAAGTGCCATGAACGAGTTTACATGAAATTGTGACCAAATATGAGCTCAGTGCTATGAAATGTACTGTACCGGTTTGCCAATGGAATATAGTGACGTTGCTTCCATGTTCACATTCATAAGCACTTCATTGGATCGTAGCTCTAGTACTTTGCTTATGCTGACTAAAATCGAAAGCATGACTTGCGTGCCAAAACAGCTTGTTTGTGTGATCGCCTCATATGCTCCAGTGGCTGTTTGACGTGACATTTGATTCAGTTGTCTGAATTGTTCTCTTTTTTTGTCATCTCAAGGGAGTCACACCATGGCTTATTGCAAAAAAATGATAACAGGAGATTAGACGATGGTTTCCAATTTGGAGGGAAGTGCGATTCCTTCTGAAGGTGGATGGCCTTTCAGTTTTCGGGGTCATGCAGCCACCTTTGCCAAAACGGATGCCACCTGTTTCATCAGCATCCGTTTGCTTGCACTGCTCACAGTCACGATGCATTCATCTTGGAAGGATGTCAGCAACAGGCCCTTGTTGACTGTTTCACCAAGAAGAAAAGAAGCATGAAGATTTTCTTTGTGAGTAGCTTGACAGAGTTGCAGAGAAACACCAAACGGATCATTTGATGACAGGCCCCAGCATCAGCTGGAGGACAATGTGACTGTATTCAAGGATTGGTGCAGTATGTGTTTCACATATTGTATTTTGGGATTGTGAAGGGGAAAGCAAGTATTCTTGGCAAAAGACACCTTAAAAATGCCTTCCTCTGGAAATATGGAACAGATACGGATTTATGTGGATTAACATTTGGGTTTTAGGTGTTCCTGATTAAATGACAAACTTTTGTAAGATTATGGAAAATATATTTAATTTAATGTATTTCATGATTCAGTTCACTAATCTCTTCTACAGATACGTAGATTTTGAGGAACACCACTTGTGTTTGGCTTATTTGAAAGTTATCTTTTCAGGGGACCTATGAGATCTTTACTTCTCCAAAGCAAAGAGCTGTTTATTTTTTTACTTATACAAGCTTATTTGATTATATGGCTTTTTTTCTTCAACGGTTACATTTTGAACTATCCTAATTCAAAGAATATGGAGGAGAGAGGGAGAAGAATGATTATTGCACAATAGTCACAGACAGTACATTACAAATGTTTTCCCAAATATATACAATATTTGCATCAGACTTTTAATTACTAATTCTTTAATTTCTGTATTTGGAACACATTTTTAATGTTTATGCCTTATATTCATAAGACATATTTGCAGTGACCTTGATAAACTAATTTATGATGTTCACTGGGCCACCAGCCATATTTTAAAAATGTCTCTGTTAAAACTGGTTGCTACATTTTTATGTACATTCATGAGAATTCTTTTTATGCCTGACCAAATAAGATACGCATGTAACAATAATAATTAATGTTAGTACTAATGTTAGTAGGATGGAAATGTATTTATCATGTAATCATCAGTTTCTGCAAACTGTAATATACATCATCTTGAAAACAATGTTAAAGTGATTACACTACCAAATATTAGCTCAATACTGCCTTAACCATGAGTGAACAATGACTACCCTATAAACCTTAAATTTTTATTTTTATTTAAATTTCGTATTTCAGAATATCAGAGCTGTCACAAAAAAGGACTGTATTTCTAATTTAAAACCATTTTTTTCAGACAGCAGACTTTTTAATGACAACTTTAATCTTGATGCATTTATCTTACATTTTTTTAACAATAGTTTTGCCAGAGGTTCATTGCTGAGAGCCTGGAAAAATCAAAATGCTTAAGGAACTCAGAGAAAGGGATGCTTTTCATCCCAAATGCTTTCTTGTGTTGCTTTCTTTTATTGGAAGTGACTCCAAGTGCACAGAAAAGCAAGAAAAATTTCTTTTAAAAGTAAATAAAATAAATATAACTAGTGAGAAAATAGACCTTCTAACTTTTAACAGTCCAAAGCCTAACCTTACTATATACTAACGCAATTTATCTATAATTAGAGACATCCCAATATACAATTAATGTATCAATTCTAAACCTGAACTTAGAATAACAGCTCTTGGAAAATATCTTCTGTAAACAAGGTACCTGTAAGCAGGGAAGTACATTCCAATAATTTTCTGGAAGTTTATTAATATTGTGAGGTATTTCAGCTATAGTGGCTCCATTTCTGTCTTTTGTTTTTATCTGAAGAATCCCTATATGGATAAACAGAACCTTGCTTCCCCTTTCTGCCTAGCATGCATGCTCAGGCAGGGCAGTCTGGGAGTGGGTGGTTTGCATGTCCCCATCTAGCCTCTTTGTTGTTCAATTCATGCAATCTCTGGAGGTGATGTAATTGGAGTGAGCACAGAGGAAGACTAGATTGGAATTCAGGACACATGCATGCATTCTCTAATGCCTAACATAGTGCCTGTAAGCATGGAGACTGGGGGGGGGGGCACAAGGGTAAAACGAACTTTTGGGGGAACCCTTAGCAGGCAAGCACTACACTACAAGGAAGGATTTTACACCAAAGATTTCCAGTCTTTCAGCCCCTATTTTTAGAATGAAATTAAATTCAAACACGGTGATCAGAACACACCAGTCAACACAAGATATATTTTGCTCAGCATATGAGCAGGCCTTTGATAGGCATACAAATAAAACGTGATTTGAGTATGTGGAATATTATTACTGACATGTCCAGCTGCAATTGCTATTATTGTGGCAATTCTTCCCAGCTGCTGTAATGACAAGGAAGTGATGCCAACTGTATGGATAATCATGAATGCGTATCTAGAAATGTTCACATATTTTTCACATGAGCCACCTTTTGACTTCTTTTCTTTTTTTAAAAAATATGTTGTCCGTAAGAATTTGGCATAAAATTACATTTCAGCCTATTTATTAATTTTAATTCTGATTAATTGCAAATTCACCCAAATGCTTTTGCTTCATGGTAGGAGAACTCCATTCCATTATTAACTTTGGTACTATCCTTTTAGATTCATGCTGTTGTAATCTGACCAGATGGATTATTAACAGTAGTGGGAGATACTGCAGTGGTATGTGCTTCTCATAGAAATATCTATTTGTATTATCTGATACAAGCTTGAATGTGCTCAGTTCTGTCAGCACAAACACGTTTTGAAGACTTGCTGTGCCTTTGCATGGACCTGTAACAATTATTTTGGTGCTATTTTTTTCCTTTTCATACAGGATGTCTCCAGTGTAGGAATTCTGGTCTAGCCATTACAGCTGTAGTAACATTCTTACTATCGATCTTTCATGTTAAAGTGTGCTTTTTTGCTAGTTAGAGCTGTTTTTCCTTTCAAAAAATGGAAGCAAAATGAGCTTGCATAGGCTCAACATCCCCTTGCTTTCTTTTTTTCTTTAGTGATTACCCTTTTTCTTTGACTGCTTGTTCAATACCTATTTGGTGCTTGTCTTCATGGGTTTTTTTTTCCAGTTAACCAAGAAACAGTATGCCTGAAAGCAATATTTCAGATTAATCTTCCTTTTTATTTTCATAAGCTAAGAACTGTTGTCTCTGTAAAGGTGCTTCAAAACAAGTGTAAGAGATAAGATGGGTTCCCAATGTTCATGTAACGAAACATATTATTTTCTTTTTGTGAGAAAGTTTACAGCTTTGGAATCATTGGAAAACATTATAGATAGGCTGAATTAGATCATGAGCTCTAGTTACCTACTTCTTGTGAATATAGCTTCTTCGGGTGCATGTGCAGAATTCTCCCATCTACTTGTGTGCTGGAGCAAATGGATACATGGGAGTTCCATGCGTGCACTGAAACATCTCAAAGTTACAGAACTTTGGAGCAGTCAACTCTGATGTCTGGCTGTATAAACAATAATAATATATACTTACAAGGACCTGAAACACATTGTGCTCTGAAGTCAGTATTATGTACAGTGTTGGAAAGTTTTAGCTTTATATATCATTGTTATATTATTGTTTCATTTAGTGTTTTTGGTTTTCTTTCAGTTAATGAATCCACTGATAAAATATTGCCTTCTGGTGCAATGCAAAAAATTTTTAAAAACCCAACCCAGATGTTTCAGCTGGTTTAAAACCATACAAGTGACAATCCAGTAAGGATGGTCCTTATTCACTATTTGGGTGCAAGACTGGTTGGTTTATACAGGGCATTGCTAATTATGAGAATATGTTGTTGGGCTGGTTTGGGGTAATAGAGCTATTCTGTGGAATTATTTTAAGAGTAAAAGTCATAGTAATGGACACAGTTATGATTATAAGGTTGTTGATGATGGCATCCATTGTCTTTAAAGGCTTCCTAACCTCCATTACTCAGACATTTTTATCTGTATATCTGTATCTTTTGAGTTTTAGTTAGGAAAAGTGTTCTAATTTTCACACAAACTCTACTTTTCAAGGGATGCATGAAAAGAGAACATGATTCCCACTAGTTCTAGACATAGGGTTGCCAGCCTCCAGGTGGGGCCTTGGGGATCTCCCGCTCTTACAACTAATCTCCAGCTGATGGAAATCAGCTCCCCTGGAGAAAATGGCTACTTTGAAGGGTGGACTCTATGGCATTGTACCATGCTGAGGCCCCTCCCCTCCCCAAACCCCAACCTTTCCTGGATCCACCCCCAAAGTCTCTAGGTATTTTCCAATCCAGACCTGGCAACCCTATCTAGACAACAATCTGTATCTTTCTTCAACCAGTATATATATTTTTAAAAAGCTAGCATTTTTCTTGTAAGGCAGTTTGGCAAGCTTCTCAAAAAAATCAGTTGTTGGCCTAGCATTATAGACGAATGCCTATCACTTTGACTGCATGACTATTGCTGTTTGAACATATTGTGTCTTTGAAAAGTGCCATCAAGTCGCAGCTGACTTACGGTGACCCCAGCAAGGGGCTTTCAAGTCAAGTGAGAAGCAGGGGTGGTTTGCTATTGCCTTTCTCTGCAGAGTCCTTCTTGGTCTCCCAACCAAGTGCTGACCCTGCTTAGCTTCTGAGATCTGATAGGATCTGGCTGCACCATGCTGCCTTCCTTCCCTTCAACATATTACAGAAGTTGCAAAAAAGAAAACAATGAAAGGGAGAGTAAATATCCTTAAGTATTAGAGTTCAAGCAGTTTTTGTATCTGTGTTTTGTATCCCCTTTATGTTGCTCAAAAAACAGAATTGTCATTCTTTGGAGATCAGAAAACCTTATTTAACCTGGGACTGTCAGTATTTTACCTCTTTACATTTAGTGGAAATTCTAGTGGAATTTCTGCTCTTGGTACGTCTCTGAGATACTTTGACAACATTTGATTTGAGGAAAAAATTACGCTTCAAGTATTGTAAATGCAGGCCACAATCCACAAGGAGGTTTTCCCGTGCAAAGTCAATCCAATGAATGAGAATTGTTCTAATGTGTGCTCTATCTGGGTTGGATCCAATCAGGTTTTTCATTCAGCCACACCCAGTTCCCTTCTTTTTACAGGTATGGCTTTTGTATATGGAGATCTCATGATTCTCCAGTATAGCCTATGTTGGTGATCAAAAGGATTCCTCTGAACTTTTTCACCAGCATACAAAAGTGGGTCTATCTAGCCCAGTCATCAAGAGTGGGCTTTGCACCAAATAACTTCCCCAGGGATTGTGCTTGCACATTGTGGATATTTAGTCTTTGTACATTTTGGGGGAAATATAATATCATGGAGCCTCGTAACAATTTTTAAAGGTGTATGTATCTGTTTTTTGCTTTTTCCTTTGGGAAATATTACATTTTTATTTGTATTTTTTACTTTTAAAAAATTTATCCACATGTGCAGTTCTTTTTGTATTTCATAATTGTCTTTCCTTAGCAACAAAAAAAGGGAATCTGCAATTGAGAGGGAATTTTCGCTGCTTGTTGGAAGCATTATAACAGGTCATTTCCATATCACATATTCTGTCATATCACTGTAAAAACAATGTGACTGTGTAAATAATTGCAAAATCTAATTTACTGTTTTACATTTGTTTCACATTTCTACTTTATGATGGCCTCTTCCTCAGATTTAGTTTAGATCTGAGCCTCATCAAACTGTTTTGAGTTCTTTCTCCTGATTTGTCCTGTTTGTTTCAGTTTTTAAGATTTCAGTTTATTTGAGTTTTGTATTGGTTTTTGTCCCTGGGTTGTGAGAAGTTGATCTTCAAAATTATTTTTACACTATTTATGATTTATTTTCATAATGTAAAAAGTGTGTAATTATTAAACTCTTAATCTTATTACAGAGGCTCATTTTTATTGCTACAAAGCCTTCCCCCCCCCCGATTGTGAAACCTGTCCTTGCTCTGCATAGCATCTTTCTAAAAGACATCCTGTTAAAAAAGGAGTAATATGTTTTAAAAATCTATTGGTCTAAGATTCTATATTCAACATATCAGAGGCTTTCTTCTTCATCTGGAATTGTGAAAAGGTCTAAATCCACACATTCTATGAATTATAGGAGGGGTCCCAAGCTTTTTGAGCCTTCGGGCACTTTTGGAATTCTGACACAGCATGGGGGTCCCAGCAACAAAATGGCTGCCATAAAATCGCTTCTGCAGGAGGTGGAGCCAGCTACAAAATGGTCACCCCAGCTTACCTTCAGTTACACAGTTAAGATCCTTGTGCTTTGGTAGCAGCCACTGCCAAAGCAACATTTTTAAAAATCTGCACAGGCGATCAGAAGCTTTGCTGGGCAAAAGCCTTCCTTGGCCCCACCCACTTTCTAAAAGGCCTTGGCAAGTGCCCTGGCACCTGCAGGCACCACATTGTGGACCCCTGAATGATAGCATTCTAATCACGTGCTTCTTTCATTTTTTTCTTCCATGTTTACCACAACTCTTTAGTCAAAATTCTCTCTCAAATCAAGAGTAAAAGAAACAAACACAGGATGAGCTGAAAAAGCTCTGTCTACTGCCCCCAAGCATGTCCACATACATCTGATAATAAAATGGTCTTTGTTGGAGCTAGCTGGGAAATAACAAATAATCTACCATGATAAATATCAGGAGAATCAAAAAATGTGGTGGAAATAACAGGATAGCAGCATTATCTCCATAACATAAAGTATGTAGCCACATGATGCCATTCACTTACAGTAACGACCATAAATAAGCTGAGGGAGTGCCTCATCACCAAACACTGAAGCTGAAGCCCCATCAGATAGCTGCTGGATTGTCAACAACTGTCCAGCAAAAATCCTGTAACCATTCTGGTTCCAGGTGTATTTATGGCTTCCCTTCTCATAAGGCTGAGAGGTGAACTTGGATACTAGGCAAGTCTGAGTTTTCGTATCTATGTCCATATTTTAAAGCAGTCTAAAAGGAGGACACAGTTCTTGTTTTAGGCAAGAGGAACATCACAAATCCGTCATCTTACGAATAGCTAATAACCTGGCTTATATGCATCCTAAATACTTTAAATACAGTTAAGTGTATACACTCGATATTGGCTCTTTAAAATCTGCAGTCATATTTTATCCTATAAACACAGCATGGAATCCTTAAAGGACTGCTTGATATCCTCTCAGTTTGTCATAAGCTTTGTAACCTTTTGTATTAATTGGACTGCACTGCATGCCTAGAGTAATATCCCCAGCTTTTCATCAGCGATTTTGAAAGCTGCCTTTTACCATTTTCTTCTTTTTAACAGCTGCTTTCCACAGGGTATAGAACTTACAGGAGCACAAAGGCCACTTTGGCTTCAGAGCATTATGGTTTAATAGCACTTCAGTAAATTTATAATTGCATTGCAGTAAAGATTTCACACAGGTCTGGGGATAACTTTTTACTTGTCTGAAAGTTTTGTTCCAGCCCCAGGATTGCCATCTAGTGGTTCAATCCTAAGAAGGCCATTCTAGAGAAGCAAATGATGGTAAAAGGCATTGGTTTGTATTTGCACACTATTTTGCCCATTTCTGTTTTTTGCTTGGCCCCTTCCACCAAAACCATTCCTTCATAGACCAGACAATTGGTCTGTCAAGGTCAGGACTGTCTATACTGGCTGGCAGTGAATCTCCAGGTTGTCAGGCAGATGTCTTCTGCAACACCTACTACCAGATGCTTTAACTGAACATGCCATGAATTGAATCTGAGACCTTCTGCATGCAGTACAGTTACTCTACCACTGAGCCATGGCCACCTCTCCTTTTTTAATATTTTTTTTAAATTTTCAACATATAAAACAAATATAACCCACCTCTCCTTTTTTAATATTTTTTTTAATTTTCAACATATAAAACAAATATAAAAGGGGGAAATTCAATTTCCATTTCGTCAATATCATATTGATGCCTAATTTATCATACATTTGTATATTTCACCTTGTAGCAATAATCTTGTCGCTTGCAAATATATCTTATTTATAGAATAAATGTCCTTAAATATAGTTTAAATGGCTCTGTTGATTACTTGGAATAATCTTCAAATCATTGGTAAAATCTTGACCATGTATTCTTGAATACAGTCTCTGGTTGTCCTTTCAAAATCAGAGTTAGTTTGTCCATTTCTGCTGTTTCTTACATTTTACTTAAAAGTTCTTGTCTTGAAGGTGTCTCTGTTGATCTCCAGTGTTTAGCATACAATATTCTAGCAGTTGTTGTTAAATACAATGTAAGATAAGAGTCTTCTCTTTTTTACAGTTTTCAGGTAAGATATTCAGCAAAAATATTTCTGGTATAAATATGGTACAGAAAATTTAAATGTTTTTGGTATAATGCCATTAATCCAAGCCCAATACTTTTTCGCTTTATCATATAACCACCACATGTAGTAAAAGAATCCCACCTTATTTTGACATTTCCAACATAAATTTGAACAATTAGGATCAAACTTAGCCAATTTATCAGGCGTAATATACCACCTATAAAACATCTTATACGTATTTCCTTATATGAAATTGCTTTTGTGATTTTTAAATTCTTTTTCCATACCTGTGACCATTGGTCTAACGCAATATTATGACCAAAGTTTTGCACCCATTTTATCATAACGTCTTTAATCACTTCGTCTTGTGTTTCATTTTCTAAAAGCAATGTATAATTTTTTTATAAGTTTCTCATCAACATACCTCAATATCTTATCTATTTCTAATATTTTGTTGTAAAAACCTGTTGGCTTATCTTTGCTATATCTTGATTCTATTTTAATTATTTGCCACCATGTTAAAGTTTCTATTGATTTCAGTTCATTTCTGTTATATAGAGTCAGACCATGGGTCCATCAAGGTCACTACTGTCTATTCTGAATCACAGCAGTTCTCCAGGGTCTCAGAAGTGTTTCACATCTTTTTAACAGGAGAGGCTAGATACTGAGCGTGCAATCTTCTGGAAGCCAGTGAGCCACACCCATTCATTCATTCATTCATTCATTCATTCATTCATTCATTCAATGTATACCCTGCCCTCCCTGCCAAGGCAGGCTCAGGGCAGTTTACATAGAATTCATATAAATACACTTAAAACCAGTCACAACACCATCATCGTAAAATAACATAACATTTCATTTAAAAAATCCTAAAATGCTAAAATGCTGGAACATGAGCTAATAAAGTGTGAGAGCAGAGGTGTAAAGTTAGCATGCTACTTAGCTGGTGATACAATCTTTATGGCATTCTCACCAGCTCAGTTTGTTCAACTTATTTGTGCAGCAGGCACAGACTGTAGGTGGTAGGCCATGGTACAGGGACACTCCTTGGTGTTTATGCAGATCCTTAGTCAAAGGCCTGGTGGAAGAGCTCCATCTTGCAGGCCCTGCAGAACTTTACAAGGTCCCACAGGGCCCTGATCTCTTTTGGGAGCTCGATCTACCAGTATGGAGCCACCACCAAGAAGGCCCTGGCCCTAGTTATAGCCAGACTGGAGTCTTTGGGGCCCGGGAGGGCCAACCGATTTTGGGACCCTGAATGCAGTGCTCTCTAGGGAACCATAAAGGGCTTTAAAGGTTAAAACCAGCACCTTGAAATGAATCCGGTATGCTATCGGCAGCCAGTGTAATGCTTTCAGTACAGGCTGGATGTGCTCCCACATAGGGAGACCCATCAACAACCTGGCCACAGCATTCTGCACTAGCTGCAGCTGGATTCGTGACAAGGGCAGCCCTATGTAGAGAGCATTACAGTAGTCCAATCTCAAGGTGACCATCGCATGGATCACTGTTGCCAAGTCATTGTG